TCTGAGGCTCTGTCTAACGTACTTTGGACATGTTGTGAGGAGAGACCGGTCCTTGGAGAGGGACATCATGCTTGGGAGGGTGGAGGGACAGCGCACGAGAGGAAGGCCCTCTATGACTGGGATCACTGGGATGGGAGTGTCAGAGACGGTGCGATTGGCACAGGACAGAGCGGAGTTTAGGGCTGTTGTACATAGGTTCGCTATGAGTCGTAGGCGACTCGACGACACATAACAACAACAACAACAACATCCCGTGCTGTCTTTTGAAATCTTCTATTCAGCTTTGTAATATCTTGAACTCTTCCTTGTGCTTTGGCTTCTCTGAACTGCAATCCAATCTTCAGAGTTTCTTCTAACATCTATTTTGTTCTTTTTTTTCCCCCCGTCTTCTGTCTTCGTAATGACCGTTTGCACTCTTCCTGGATGATACATTTGACATCCTCCCACAACTCAATAGGTCTTCACTCATTAGCATTCAAGGCCTCAAACCTGTTCCTGAAATGGTTCTGAAATTCAGGTGGGATGAACTCAAAGTCATATGTTGGTTCCCATAGATTCCATTTCATTTTCCTTCGCTTCAGTTTGAATTTGCATATGAGTAGTTGGTGGTCTATTCCACAATCAGCTCCTGGCATAGTGTTCACAGCTGATATTGAGCTTCTGCAGCGGTTCTTTCCAGCAGGCCTCTGAAAACCCTTAGTATAACAGAATATACGTAGCCTAACAGAGAAGACAACTGAGGTAGAACTTTCAAGTATGGAAATACAAAGGAAGAGGAACAGTTGTAAGCAGACACTAGTGATTAGAACATGGAATGTGAGAACAATGAATGCAGGAAAATTAGATATTGCTAAGAAAGAAGTGGAATGCATAAATATTGACTATACAACATTAAAAAGCAATTAATTCACACTTAATGTAAATGAATCTAGAGGACATTATGGTGAGTGAAATAAGACAATAACAAAACAAAACAAAACAAAAATTATTCTAGTATGGTCACCAGGAAGCAGATGGGTGAGGGAGAAGAGTGGAAAAAAATCAATCAACAGATAATAAATATCTACTAAGGTAAGATAAGCAGGAGTGGCATCCACTTCCTAAACCACATACCTCTGGAAACTCCATGAACTTTGATAAATAACCGTTAGAGAAAGGCCTCAGGCCTTTCAACTCCATGGCAATCAACAAGAAGATATACAAAGGGAAAGACAATATTGATTGAAAAGACTGGACCTGTGGTGATTTTAATTAATTTTATGAAACAAATGTTCAAGAATGATTGAAAAACCAGTAGGTTTACAACCCTTCATTCAAATGACAAGAAAGTATATATGTCAATGGATTATGCATAGAGAAATAAAGTGTTGAATTGATGTGGGATCCTCTAGGAATATGTTCAACAATAACAAAACAGAACATTGAAAACAAGAAAGCAGTCTTGTCCCATGTCAAGGAACTTGAAGCCTCTTCACAATACACCCACGCAGATGTGGCACCATCTCTCCCCAAGAACAACCTCTTTACTCACTGCCACGCCCTTGCTTCTTGTTCTCCAAACAGCAGCCAGAGGGAGCCTTGAAATACCATATATTCTCCACATACCACTCAATGGCTTCTCAACCCTCCCTAACAAACCTAACGTCTTACCACTTTTACTTTGACCTTCCTATGTCTTTCTCCCGACCCTCTTCTTAACCCTCCCAGGTATTCATTTCCTTATCACTCACTCTAACGTTGAATGTGATTAAAAAATATGGTTCTTGCTAACCTAATGCCAGCAATTTGAATCTACCAGGTCTCTGCAAAGAAGTTCTTGGTATGTGTAAAGGTTACAGCTAAGAAAACTCGAGGCAGTCCTATGTTAAACGAGTTGTCCTAAGTAGAAGTCGACTCCATGGCAGTTAATATTACCATTTCTATTTACAGTGACATTGCTCACGTATTTGTCTTGTTTAGCGCCCTTGCCCGTGAAATTTATCTTCCACGATAGCTGGGGCCCCAGTTCATTCTGTTTCCCACCTTTCCCTCTCCATGCATGGGAGGGGCGGGACACGCACTACAAAGAAACTGAATGAATGAACAGAAAGAAACCCGAGACGAGCGAGCTGGAGGATTTTGTCTCTCGGCGGCCGTAACATGCTTTCATTTCCCCAAACCAAGTCCCCGAGGCCTGCTCCAGTTGCCAAAGCAACTGTGCGACGCCCACGTGCCTCCCAGCACGCCAGGGGCCCTACATCTGTAGCTTCTCACCCGATTTGTGGGTCCACGTGTGGAATAGGAGGAACTGGCGGTAGTCACGGCGGCGCCTGGCCCCTGCCGGCTGCCGTACGCGGGCAAGTGCAAAGAGCCTATCCCTCGCCCCCTCAAGCTCCGGGTACTGCTTCTCGAGTGAACAGGTAAAGCTAAGCACGTCGACTAGTGCATGTCGACGGCTTTTCTGCTGCCTTTTTCAGTGGCCAGCCGTGGCCACAGTCCCCAGAATAAGAAATTTTTCGGCTCCGGATCATCCGCTTTGAAAGAGGGGCACTGCGCCTGCGCACGAAGGCCCGGCGGCGGGCTTCTTTCGTGTACGCAGATGGAGCAGGCGGCGGTTTGCGCGTGTGTAGAAGGGGGCTAGAGGCCTTTTGCGCCTGCGCAATCAGTCCGATGGCGGCTTGCGCCTGCGCGGCTGGACGCTGCGGAGACCGTTGACTCATTTGCATGTCTCCGCCTCACGGCGGCGGCGGCGACTGCGAGTGAGGACTTCGAGGCAGCAGCAGCAGCGGACTTCCTCCGCGCGCGGTGGTCTCGGGGTGAGGCCTTGGAGAGCGTCGTCGGAGGGTGACCACAGGACAGGCAGTTCGGACCCTGAGCCGGTTCTCCGCGATGGCGCCGCTGGCTCGACCCTTGGACTGGCGGCAGCCGCAGTCGGGCGGGGCGGCGACTGCGGCCTACTAGGCCCAGCCTTCCCGCTGTAGGCCCTCGGAGGCATGGGCGGCGGGCCGCGCCCGGAGTGCTTTGTTCGTTCCCCGGTTCATTCATTCTACCCTGGTCCAGGGCGGCGGCCGCCCGCGGAGGGGGGTGGGGGTGGGGCAGTAATGGCGGCCGGGCGCTCATTTTTACTGTTGGGGAAACTGAGGCACGGGGAGGTCCTCTTTCTTGCTGAGGGAAGGGAAGAGCCAGGATTTTGACCTCTTCCACCGCGGAGACTGTACCGTTGGCCAGGAGGGACTCCGAGGCTTCCCGGGAAAGGATCTGAGTGGGGGTGGGAGTCATGAGAAAAGGAGAAAAGCTGGCTTGGGTTTCGAGGTTTTTGAGGTGGGTTAAGGACACAGTCACTGGGCCCCTAAGAGTGACTTCTAGGTCTCCTGGGCCCCGTCTCCACCACCTCGTTCAGGTCTGCACTCTCAAACCGTGCTTGGGTCTCTTTCCCCCAACAGAAACCCAAACCTAACTGCCCTTCAGTCGATTGTGATGGTGAAGCCAAAATTACAGGTTGGAACTTAGCTCTGTAGGGTTTTCGAGACCGTGATCGATTTGTGAGGGGTCCCTGGGGATGCAAAGAGTTTATTCAACTTGGAGGAGAACTTTGGCAGTTCATTCCTGTTCGGACCTCCGGGGGCAATTTCCATTGTTAACCAGAGATAAACTGAATCGGTGTCTTCCTTGTAACAAGACTCCCAGGTGTTTCTTAAGAGGTCCCCAGGTGATCTTCATGCATAGATTCACCTAATATAGATCGAAAATAGTGGGGGGGGGGGTTGTTGTGTACCGTAGAGTCGGAACCGACCCATAGCAGACCCTCCAGCGGGTTTTCAGAGACACGGAGGAGATTGCCCATCCTTCTCCTGCGGAGCAGCTGGTGGCCTCGAACGATGGCCTTCGGGATTACAGTGCAGCTTCTTGCCACTAGGCCACCAGAGCTCTTTTATTGGGGTAGGGGAAGTAGCTAAATGGTTAAAGCAATCCTGAAAAGGGTAAGAGGGACTTAAAATGTACCATTTGCAAAGCAATTGTACTGTGTCAGTTATTATAAGTAATCTGGAAATATCAAGTAAATGTCTGTGGGTTATATGTAAATACCATGTTATTTTTATTAGCACCAGTGTTTTTGGTATGCACAGAGGTCCACTCAGAAACATTAATGCCACTGAGTGAATTCAAATGGACAAGCTCCACGCTGCTCCCATAACCTGTGTGAAATGACATCTGTAGCACGACTTCTTCAGTGGGTTGTTGCACAAAGAGTTTGTACCTGTTTTGCTGATAATAGGAATCAAGGATTGAGCCCCAGTAGACATTAGCTGTTGTCATTGTCATTAGGCTGTGGTTCCTCCATCTGCTTGTTGAGAGACAGCACTTGGCCTTTGTGTGAAATGGAAGATGGCCATCACATCTTTGCTGTCCACAGTGTGCACTAAGTTCTACCATGACCTCCACTGTGTGTCCGGTTCTCAGGACCTCTTAACAATCTTCGATAAGCTCAAAGAAGAAAAAGAATCTGTCTGAATCACTTTCTGTTCATTCTCAGCTGGCTCATATCTGGAGACTTAAGGGCAGAGACCCCCCTTTGGAATAGTCCAGCCAGTTTCCTAAAGTATCTTGCCAGGTTGTTGCCCTTTGTATGGTGAGCATTTCATTGTTCTCAGTGCCCGCCCCACCCCAACCATGCACTCCACTACAGGTCATTGTAGTATGGCTGCAAGGCCCATCACTCAAGAGTCTTGATGCTTTACTCCAAGAAAAAGGTAGGTGTTACTGTGTGGACCTAGTGGTAAGTCTTCAGGTGAAGTGCTTCAATTTAAAGCTCAAGGTAGTTGGAAATGTGTTTCGAGGGAGACATTTTAATTCCTCATCATTCCTTTGATTAATTATTAAATAAGAGCATGGTTTTTGCCTTGAGACTACCTGTCATATTATACAGACAGATGTAGAGATAGGCTATTGTGATTGAGTTTCTGGAGGGCCAAAACTGTCCACCTTACCTCTTCTGGGCCTCCTTCCCTCACCTGAAGATGGGTTCTTGAATCATTGTGGCTTCATCCCCACAATTACTGCTCTACTTTTGAGCTCTTCGCAGGTTTTTGTCTCCTCACATTAACCACCCTCCAAAAACTCTCCAGCCTGCTCCCACTCTCTACACACATTCTCCTTGCTGCTCACATTAACCACCCTCCACCCCCTTACTGTCCCACCGTACTGTTGTGTCCCTAGGCCATGGCCATTATTGGAGTAATGGGGTTCTCCCTGCAGCGATACATCCTCAGATGAGCGCAGGAGCAGTTTTATAACTAGTCTGTGCCTTGGGTTGGGTCAAGCAGAGGAAGTGAAGATCTGCAGAGCTGCCCACTAAAAATCTTGGCTTACTATGCCAGCAAAATAAAACATGGTGCTCACATGACCTGTGGAGCTACCCACTAGGCCCTGCCTAAAAGTAGCCCCCAGAAATCTTGGCTTACTATCCCAGCAAAGTAAAACATGGTGCTCACATTCCCTGTGGTAGGACAGTTGGAAGGCTTCTTACCAGGGATGTGAAATTTATTTCTCCTGCCCATGTTCTCACTTTGGGGACACTGATGGCCATTACACCCTGTTTTGCTTGACTAAAGTTAACAGGCAAGAGACTCAATTCATAGGTGCCTTTCCCAGGAAACTTGGCTGGTTTATCCTTTCCTCAACCTCAACTACAATGTGTACTCATGCCAGTGTCCTGGGACAGTACCAGGGTAAGGACACAGCCAATACTAGTCATGCCAGCTCTTGACCTGAGGAAGAAGATGCTTGCCATGTAGACTGAGTGAATCTTAAAGACAGATTTCAAATGTTTCGTGAGTAGTGTGTTCTTAATTATAAAAGACTTAAAATGGGTGAAATTAAAAGATCTCATACCTGGGCCCTTAATCTACATTAGGTAAATGTTAAGTAATTGTGACTTTATTTACTAATACATGTATGAAGATCTTTGTCTTCATTTAGCTCCAAAAAAGATTGGGGGGAAGTGGTACTAGAAACCTAGAGATCAGTAGGCACAGGAGCAGCATGATTGCCAGTAAGTCTTGCCTATATCTGCTCATAGACAAGAATTTAGCAAATCTTGTCTAGAACCCAGCCACCACCCCTTACAGTGGTATTGTGGAAACCAGACCTAATAGTTGTTGTTAGATGCCGTCAAGTCTACTGTGACTCATAGCAAACCTATTAACAGAGCTGAACCTTGCTCTATTCTCTGCCACCCTTATCTCTTTGATGCTCTAAGGCATTGTAGGTAATCACTGTGTCAGTCCATCTCACATCTCATGAAAGGTGTTACTCTCTCCGCCTGACCCTCTACTTTTCCCAGCATATCATTCTCCAAGGACTTGTTCCTTCTGAAAATATGTCCAGAGTGAGTGAGAAGCATTTTCGTTGTACTTGCCTTGTAGGAACATTCTGGTTGTAGTTCCTTCAAAACAGGTTGTTTTGAGGGTTTTTGTGATACATAAAACACATTTTTCCACCACTACAATTCAGAGGCATTGATTCTTCTGTCATCCTTATTCATTGTCCAACCTTCAGATGCATAAAAAGTAATTGATAAGCCATGGCTTGGTTCCACCCACCCACCTCCCCTCCCCTTGTGTACTGTCAAGTTGGATCTGACTGGCACAGGAGGAGATTGCCCTTCCTACTCCAGTGGAGCATGTGGTGGATTTGAACCGTGGGCCTTCTGGATTGCAGCACCGCTTCTTGCCACTAAGCCACCAGAGCTCCCTTGCACCTTACTATTCTAATTGACATATTTGTGTTTAGAGCTTTGGAGAGATCCTTGATAACAGATTTCCCCAATGTACCATCTAATTTTTATTTGCTGCTACCGTGGATGAGTCGCAGGCGACTCGATGGCACATAACAACAACCATGGATGTTGATTGTGGATCCAAGCAAGGTGAAATCATTGACACTTTCTTTATCTGTTGTGATGTTGCCTGTTGCTCCAGTGGTAAGGATTTTTATTTTCTTGATTCTGACACATACCCTTTTTTTCCCCTGACACATACCCTTATTGAAGGCTGTCGTTTTTGATCTACAGCAAATATTTCAAGTCCTGTCCATTTTCAGCAGACAAGGTTGTGTCATCTGCATAATGGAGGTGGTTGTTAACTGAGTCCTCCTCCAATCTTCATGCCACGTTCTTCCTGTAGTCCTGCTTCTTGAATTAATTGCTCAGCATAAGAATGAATAGGTATGGAAAATGCCCTGGCAGTCACATTTCTTGAATTTAAACCATTCAGTGTTCCTTTGCTCTGTTCGGACAACTGCTTATTGGTCTGTGTAGAGGTTTTAAATGAGTACAACTTAGTGTTCTGGGATTCCTGCTATTCTTAGTGGTAGACATAGTTAAGATTCACACAGTCGAATGTCTTAATAAAACAAAAATAACATCTTTCTGATACTCTGCGCTTTCAGCCAAAATCCACCTGACATAAATGGTGATGTCCCTCGTGCCACAGCTGCTTCTGAATGCAGCGTGAACTTCTGGAAGTTCCCTATCAATGTATTGTGGCATCTGTTTTCTAATCTTTAGCAAGATTTTACTTGGGTGTGATATAAATTATACAGTTTGATGATTTCCTCATTCTGATGGATCTTTTCTTTTGAGAGGAGAAAAAATACGGATCTTTTCTGGTCAGTCGGCCAGGTCCAGATCTTGGCATAGCCTGGTATGTCCAAGGAGGCATCTGTTTGTTGAAGCATCTCAGTTGATGTTCCCTCATTTCCTGAGGCCTTAATTTTTGCCAGTGCCTCCAGTGCAGCTTGAACTTCTTTCGTTACCATTTGTTCTTGATAATGTGCTATTTCTGAAATGGTTCCTCGTAAACCACTTCTTTTTGGTACAGTGACTCTATTCCTTCCATCTTCTTTTGATGGCTTCCTGCATCATTCAAGATTTTGCCCATAATATGTTTTAGGTGTTGCAACTTGAAGGTTGAATTTGCTTTTCAGTTCATTCAGCTTGAGAAATAGTGAGTTCTTCTCTTTTTATTTTCTGACTCCAGCTCTTGGCATATTTCATTACAACATACTTTGCTTTGTCCTCTTGAGCTGCTCTTTGAAATCTTCTATTCATTTCTTCTCTTTCCATATATTTCCTTTTGTTTTGGTTTTTCTATGTTCTAGTGCAATTTTCTGAGTCTCTTCCGACATCCATTTTGACCTTTCTTGCCTGTCTTTGTAATGATCTTTTGCTTTCTTTATGAATGATCTCCTTTGCTAAATCATCAGGGTGGTGTGCGCATGAACCACTGGGACTGTTCTTGATCCTGCAATCTCTACGTTGTGATTAGAGGTCACTGGTCTGAGAGTTCTTCAGGGACCTTCTGTCTCAGTCAGCGTCCATTGTAATGTCTTCCGCCTCTCCAGTTCCCTGTTCTGACTTTAGCAAGTCAGGGTACTTGAGGAACTCCAGAGAATAGCATAGCTTGGGAACTTTCGGAAGCTTCCTCAACAGCCCAGCTCCTCACTCCCTCCCTGGAAAAGCATCTGCTGTTCGTGTGTGTTACTGGCGAAACAGAACTCTCTGACCACACTGCATAAAGATGGCAGCCCCTCCTTCCCTATCTTCTTTTACCTGCCTTCGCTTGTGCCTGACCCCTCCTCCTTTGCCTTTTCCTTCTCCTAATGTCTCCCCAACCTTCCTCTCCCATCCCCGTAGTGTCTGATCTCCTCCTTGCTTGCAGGCTGCCTTGTCACTTGTCCTTGCTATTGGTCATCACTTGGCTCCCACTGAGAAGGATCACCAGGAGAGCAGGATCTCCTTACTGTAACTGGTTGCCAGAAGCAGTGTGCACAGTCATTAGTAAAGACTTAGAGCAGGGAAGTCTAGCCTGAGCTTCCTGTGGCTTCTCCCTGGTACAGCATGACCTCACAACATTTCTCTTTCACTAGTTTTATCATCTGTTCTGTTCCTAAAAAGTAAGTAATAGGCTCTTACGGTTTAGTGGTAAGGAGTTGCAAAGGCATGCAGTTTGAATCCACCAGCTGCTCTGCAGGAAAAAATGGGTAATCTTCTTCCATGTGAATTACAGCCTCTGAAAACCCTCTGGAGAGTCAGCTCTGAGTCATTTCTGACTCAGCAGTACTGAACAGCAATAGCGATTCTGATTCAACAACCAGTTAAAAAATGATACCTGAACCTTTGGTGCCCACATTTTTCTAGTTTGTGGGTATTGCTGATTTTTCACGTGTCAAAAAATGCAGACTCGCATTTTAGTGGTCTTTTTGTTGTTCTTTGAGTAACATTTACAGAGTAGTGGGTTTTCTATTTTTATTTTTTATTTATTTTTTTATTATTTTTTGTGTGAGTGTATCATCAAATCAGATCTGACTGGTACAGGAGGAGATTGTGCCTCC